CATAACATCAAAATTTCGCCTTAATATAGCCCTCCCAACGTTAGCAAAGCCAAATAAATAAATAAATAAATAAATAAAAAATCCGATCATATGCTCTATCTTTACCAGAAGGACAAGCGGGCACTGCCTGGGAACCATCAAAATCGGAGATACAGTTTCTTACCCCCACCCCCCGCACCCCAATGTAGTGTAGTACCACCCCCCACTTCTTCGCTCTCTCTCACAGTGCCGGTCACGATAGTCGCGCGGTATAAGGCATGCACTGCTTTCACTCGCTCGGAAGCCGGGATCGTGAGTTCGGATCTGTTTCCTGTGAGGTACGAACAGAATTCTTATATATTATCCTTATACATTGCCGGTCACAGTAGCCGAGCGGTCTAAGGCATGTACTGTCTTCGCTCGCTCGGAAGCCGGGATCGTGGTTTAGAATCCCACACAAGGCATGGATGTTGGTGCATGTATGTGTTTATTCTGTGTTTGTGTTGTCCTGTGTTTAGGCAGAGGCCTTGCTGCGAGCTGATCACCCGCCCAAGGAGTCCTACCGTCTGTAGAATGATCAGTGTAACTGAGAAATCAGCCCTATGCTCCAAAGTGGGAGAGAGGTGGAAAGAAAAAATATTTAGCGAGTTAATCTCGAGATGCGCCCAAATTAGCGTGGAGTTCTTTACGTAAAGCGTCCTGTATTTTTGTCAGGCTTTAAAGAAAATAGGAACATGCCGACAATTTTAAGACAACTTCTCAGTACTAAATTTCATTAAATGCTTTCGGCGATTTTAGCGTTGTTTTATGTGCACAGACGGAAATGCAACGCTTTCTGTAGCGTTGCAAATGAGGCTAAAAATAAAAGGAAGAATTTAAATATCTGGGAAAGAGAGAGAGAAAATGCGGAAAGGATGAATAAATGAAGAGGAAGGAAAGGAGTAAGAGAACAAGAAGAGAGGGGAGAGAAAGGGACGAGAGAGGGAAGGAAGAAGACGAACGGTACGCAACACATCAACACGCTCAACAAAACCCAACCAAAACGACTACACTCAGTAAGTACACCGTCGCTGTGAAACAAATTTATCATGCATCACATATTCACGTCCAAGAGTCGGCGGGTTTTAGTGCCCTCATACAGAAGCTGAATACGGGCCATAAACGCGGAAGTAGAATTCTAGTCTTCAGTTGATATGGTCTTATGTTTACATACACGGTCATGTAGTGTTGGTTCCCTCAGACGCCTTGCAGCTAGTATAATAGCACTTTGTTGTACGCTGTTCAAGTGTCCAGAACGGTTATGCCTGTGCACGAACTGTTATATGTTTCAGCATTTTCGTGCAGGTAACTGAGTGCTCGTTTTATGATGATCGCCATCGTGTTTCCAAAATATACGACCCCCCCACAGCACATTCTCCGAAATAGTTCCAGTGCGAGTCCAGTTTAAGCGCGACTTAACAGCATTGGGCCCACGGAGTCAATATGGTATGACTGAACACTTTACGTCTTGAGAAATTAATATTTTTACAATATGGATCGTATGTCAGACCACTTCTGTGATCTAATGAGCAGAGTTCCTGGCTACAGATTCAGAGGTACCGGGCTCGATTCCCGGCGCTACCAGATTTTCTGAGAAGTAGTGGGTCTGGAATGGGGTCCACTCAGCCTCGTGAGGATAATTGAGGAGCTATTTCAAGGGAATAGCGGCTCCGGTCTAGAAAACCGAGATTAACGGTCGTGGGGATCCCTTGCGCTGACCTCGCAACACCCTCTATCCGCAAAAGTTGGCACTAACTTCGCCGACAAGCGGCGGTCGCTCGGCCGATATAGTTCGCTTGAGGACTACTGAACACGGAATTTGTTTTTAGTTGTTTTTGATTTATGAATCGTAACTCGGAGAAAACATACATACATGTACTATGTACCATGTGCGTGTATCCACATACAGCGTGTTCGAAGAGGAAAGATCAGAGTATCGGTCATTCGAAGCAAAAAATTGCATATGTACATGTATCCTATTCCGAACCGTTTCTGAAATACAGCTATTTCAGCGTACAGTTCCAAAATTGTCGATAAGAAAAAAATATTATGTGTTGTTTCGAATACCAGTATTTATTGTTCAAGTGACAAAGTTAGTAAGGCTTAGCTAGTATAATACGAACATTTTCGAAAATTCCACCGTCAACATCAATGCACTTTGCATCTCGTGTGAGGACATAGCGTG